CTCCCCTCCCCTCCCCTCCCCTCCCCTCCCCTCTGCTCCAAGCCCACCGGGAGCAGCTCCCAGGGCCAGGGCTGAGGATTCCCGGCAGCCCCGGGGCAGGAGCAGGGGAAGCTCCGGGAGGGGTGCCCGGGAAGGGGAATTCGAGCGGAGCGGGACGCGCGGGGGGGGAGGGCAGAGTGCCCGGCCCCGCCGCATTCCCGAGGAGCCGCGGGAGCCGCGCCGGGAACGAGCTCGGGGCAGCGGCGCCGCTGCGGCTCCCTCCCTGTCCCCGGTCCCCGGTGCCCTCCCCGGGCCACCCCCGGGTCCCTCCCTGTCCCCTGTCCCCTGTCCCCTCCTGGGCCATCCCCGTGTCCCGCTGTGTCCCCTCCCGGGGCCACGGCAGCCCATCCCAGGGTCCCGCTGTGTCCCCTCCCTGTTGTCCCCCATTCCTGGGTTCCCCTGGATCCTCTCCCTGTCCCATCTCATTCCTGGGTCCCGCTGTGTCCCCTCCCTGTCCCCTGTCCCCTGTCCCCTCCTGGGCCATCCCCGTGTCCCGCTGTGTCCCCTCCCGGGGCCATGGCAGCCCATCCCAGGGTCCCGCTGTGTCCCCTCCCTGTCCCCTCTCTGTCCCCTCTCTGTCCCATCCCAGGGTTCCCCTGGATCCTCTCCATGTCCCAGCACACCCCCGGGTCCCGCTGTGTCCCCTCCCTGTGCCATCCCATGCCAAGGTCCCTGCTCAGAGCCCTGGCACCGGCCCTGCCACCCCTGTGGGGTCAGGGCACGGCTTTCCCGGGGTCCAATTTCGGCCCCGTTCCCTAAATCCCCTTTACTCGGGAAAATGGCAGCGCCAAAGGGCGGCTCAGCTCCCACGGGGAAACTGAGGCACGAGGGGAAACTGGCACAGGGAATGGGGAAACTGAGGCACAAGGAATGGGGGAAACTGAGGCACAAGGAATGGGGGAAACTGAGGCACAAGGAATGGGGGAAACTGAGGCTCAGGGAACGGGGGAAACTGAGGCACAGGGAATGGGGGAAACTGAGGCACAAGGGGAAAACAGGCACTGGGAATAGGGGAAACAGGCACAAGAGGAAAACAGGCAGAGGTAATGGGGGAAACTGAGGCACAGGGAATGGGGGAAACTGAGTCAAAAGGAAGGAAACTGAGGCAAAAGGAAGGAAACTGAGGCAAAGGAGGGAAACTGAGGCACAGGGAATGGGGAAATTGAGACAAAAGTGGGAAACAGGCACAGAGGGGAAATGGGGGCACAGGGAATGGGGAAACTGAGGCACAAGAGGAAAACAGGCACAGGGAATGGGGGAAACTGAGGCACAAGGGGAAAACAGGCACAGGGAATGGGGGAAACTGAGGCCTGTTTCTACCCCAAGAGCCCTAGGAGCGCTTCCCCTCTCCTTCCCTCCTGAGCACGACGCAAAAGGAACGCTCCAGGATTTTTCCGAAAACAGGCACTGGGAATAGGGGAAACAGGCACAAGAGGAAAACAGGCAGAGGTAATGGGGGAAACCAGGCACAGAGGGGAAAACAG